TGTCCTCATACCTGGCACAATGTGACACAGACCTCTTCTGTCAGAGTAGTAATGGAGAAGCATTTTCCCGTCAACTCCTCTCTCCAAACGAAATGATGGTGCGTTCATCTTCTAAGTGAAAGACACAGCATGTTTTCCCCAGTGAAACATGTTTCAATTGTGCTTTTTAAGGCTTTGTGAAATAGAAGTACTTATCCATTACATCACACAGGACAATACTCCAAACCCCCTCTAATCATATGAAAATGAAATCTACCATGGTTTTGGCCCCTATATGTCAGGAGTTTTATATTATGACCAACCCCCTAACCAAGTCTATATGCAGGTATAAGCTTCATTTTAAAGAGGAGGAAACTGAGGCTTAGGGAAGTTAAGGCTAAATTAATGAGAGAACAACATGTTGACCCTCAGCTGAGCCTTTCCACCTGCCACGCTCTTTTCCCCACACTCCAAAGGTGGCCATGCTCGGTTTGTGACCAAGTGACCATGGATATCTTCACACTCAGAAAGGCCATGGGCTCAGATGAATTTGAAAGTGGAGAAGAGTTTATTTCTTGTTCTGGAAAGATAATGTCCTGGGTGGTGAAAACATTGTACATTTGCATCCACACTCATGGTCCTCATTCTCCAGGAAGAGTGTTGCCGTCAAAGTATGCACTTGTCATGTTAGATGGCAGATGTGTCAGAAAACGAGGGTGGAGACTCTGGCTGGGGGAGGGGGTCCTTTGCTCAGCACACTGGCCCACAGCCTGTGCTCTGAGTGAGGAGACATTAAGAAGGAGCATTCTTTCTGAGATCTCTGCTTCCCCCACGGTGGAGTGTGTGTGTGAGAGGTGGGGTGTGGGTGTGTGTTAGGAGGGTTGCTAGTTAAAATGTGAGGTGCTTTTTTTTCTTCAAACATTTATTTTATCTTTCCAAAAGTATATATATAGAGAGAAAGTATGTGTTTGCATGTATGTATGTTTATATCTTGACAGAAACAAAAAAGATTTGAAGTAGCACATATAAGACAGAATATTAAGTTATTTCAAAAAATTATATCCCAACCCTATGTAGTGGGGAAAATGATAGAAGGGCTAAAATAAAAATCAACACACTCTTGTGACCACGTCCCCCCGTGGCTCATTCCCAGCCTAGGCCACCTTCCAGGACACTTCTCAAATGTCATGCTTTCAGTTCTTCTGATCAGTGGCTCCAACTCTCTAAATAACATAATTATACTTTTATTTCTTGATTAAAATAGGGCTTTATAAAAATGGAGAGTCAGAGCAAAGGGGAAATAATGAGGAGCAAACCAGAGCATTGTCTCTGTAGGCAGGCACACCTGAGTTGGGTCCCAGCTCAGCCACCAACATGGGGGGTTTGGGACAGTTACTTGACCATTCTGGACCTCAGTTTTCTCATCAGTGTAGTGGCAAAAGTAAGGGTACCTAACCTTAGGGTTACGGGCATAATTCAATGTTTATAAATTAGCCCAACACCTGCCTCATAATTGTTGCTCAGTGAAAGTTAACTAAAACATAATAAGATTAAAAGCACAATTGTAACCAGGAATGAATGCCCTAAGGGACTGCCAAATTACTAGAGACAGACATAAAGAAAAAGTGAGCATGGCCTTATTTTATTTTTGCCTGAAAAGACAACGCGTAATATTTTGCCCAGCATGAAGCTGTCAGTCATCATTGTAAGTATTTCAGCTCAGTCGAAACGTTCTCACTTATCCCTAGAGAAGTCCTATTCTGCTGCTTCTCTAGCATTGGTTTCGGCATATGAAGGACTAACTACCAGAGGAAAGATAGCAGAAATGGGTATAGAATTAATGGACTTGGGACCTCAGAACCTCAGTTCCTTTCCCTCTTATCAGAAGAGTGACAGTAACAAGCCGAGAGCAACCCCTAGAACATAACAATACCCCATAATGTTTTTGATTTAATGAATAAGTGGAAGACTATTCCTATCTTCTCCAGAACTGTGTCATAAACTATTAGCCAGACTTTCAGATGAAAGATATGATATTAAAAACATTATGAAATATTATGAAAGGGTCTAACAATATTTCTTTGTAGTCCAATTGTAGAGCGTTAGCTAAGAAATTTGAAAAGAAGTTATCATGCAAATTATCTGAATTTTAAAACTAGCCTTATTGAACAGAGAGAAAAGAAAGGGGAAGGAAGGAAGTTATTAAAAATGAAATGCTTTTTCTGGACAGTTCACAATGCTGGGGACTTTTACATGTTATCTTTTTAATCAACACATCACTATGAGGTGGAAGGTTTTTTCCTATTTATTCCTTTTTCTCCATGTCTAATGCCTAAGAAAGTTCTTGGCACAGAGTAGGTGCTGAATACATATTTATTAAATAAATGTGTGAAAAAATTGAGGTCCAAAGAAGGCAAATAACTTGTCTGGGATCACCAGCCAGTAAGTGGCAGCATCTGGCCCCCTAGCCAGGTTCTTTTCATTCTCTTTATTCTTGAGTCATTCACATGATAGCAACAGGGTGGACCCAGCCACTCATTCTAGGAGAGGTCAGCTAAGGTTTCTAAGCCTCTTATCTCCCACCTGAAAACTGGAGGAAATTGTACTTTTCCCATTTAACATCTGTAAGGGTTCATGAGACGTTTTAGCATATATAATCCCATTTTATCTTCATGACAATTCTTCAAAGGTATTTAATTTAATGCAAATAAGCATTAAATACAAAAATGGCAAAGGAGTTTAGTAAACTATAAAAGGCCCTAAAAATAAATATAAACTACTTAATATAAAATAACGAACTGTTATTATGGTATGTGTAAATGCCACTTTGTTTTTCACGAAGACCTTTTCTTTTCTAACACAGAATAGGGAGTATAAGCATTTGAATTTCCAACAATCTCTACAAACAAGAAAGCCAAGGTGTGAACTCCAGAAAGACATTCCCCAATGGGGAAATTAGTTTGCTGAAACCTCGGGCAACCACCCAGTGGGTTCATCAGAGCTGCTTGGTGTCTGGTTCCAGCTCTTGGCCCTGTCAAGTCTCTTTCTGATACATGAATCTGGCCACAGAAGCTTTTTATCAGCTCCATCCAGGCCAAGAAACCTGAGGAGAGATTTTGCAAATCCACTGAAACCTGGAGGTTTCCCAGCCTTTGTTCCTGCTGTGATCAATCTTCTAGATTTAACTCCAAACCCACACCAGCCCCATCAAAATAGGCTATCCTCCATCATAAGGCTGACCTCTCCAGACCTTCTTTGATTGCTATGGCTAATTTATAAAGCTGGTCAGCAGGTATGAATTTTCCATTCTTCTCCCAAGAAAACTCCTCAGTCCACTGACACCAGGCACCAAGGATTCTGCAGGCCCCTTGCAATGGCCCCCTTTTGAGGGGAGGCAAGGAGACAGCTCGAATGACCCAGAATGCCTACAGGCACTTGCTTCCTCTCAGGACCACCAAGCCCAGGCTCAGGTCACCTACCTGGTAAGAGAGCGCAAGGTAACTGTGCAGGGCATCGAGGTTTTCAATGAACTCCGTGAGAGTTCCTCCCAGTGCCCGTAACATCCTGTCATAGCCCGACTTCTTACAGAATGTAAAGAAGTGTTCTCCAAAGAGTTTCAGAATGGCTTCCATGGGGACACCTGAGGAATGCAAAGCACACCCCAAAATAAAAGCGCCTGCAAGTGTTTGTTCTCATTTATTTCCAAAGAGTTCAACTCCTGGCTGTGTGATGTTTCTAAACTTCTCTTTAAGGCTTTACTTTCCTCACCAGTAAAATGCCAATGATAACACAGAAGTTGTGCGGAGCTCGGTGCAGCTGGCACCTGGCAGGTGCTAATTAAACATGAGTCCCCTCTAACTCTACTCTGATATTTTCCATGGCCCCATGGCAGACATTTCTGTACAGTCCCAAAGGGCTGCAGAGCTGCAAATCCCTGTGATGGCTGAATCCAGGGAGAGGTCCACTCTGTGGCCTCTGCAATCTCTCCACCATCTCTGGACATCTTTAAATACAATGGCCTTTCCCCAGGATAAAGAGCTACTTCTGCAAAATAATTAATACTGCACCTAAAAACAATACCGACACTTACATTATCATGATTTGCCCAAAAGATGATTCCTAATTTGTTCAATGACTTCCCCTTTCTCTTTCTGCCCACCTCCCGGTCTCCCTTCGAGGTGCAGTCTGCACATTGCATCCTCCATAGAGACTTCTTTCAGCCCTGGCCGGTTTGGCTCAGCGGTTAGAGCGTCAGCCTGAGGACCAGAGAGATCCGGGTTCGGTTCCCGCTAAGGGCATGTACCTCGGTTGCAATTTGTCCCTGGCCCTGGTTGGGGTTGTGTGGGTGGCAACCCCTCGGTGTGTCTCTCTCACATCAATGTTTCTCTCTCTCTCTTCCCCCCTCCCACTCTATCTTGAAGATAAGTGCAAAAATGTCCTCAGGTGAGGATAAAAAAAAAAAAAAGACTTCTTTCAATATCCTGAGTCAATCTGAATGTTCCCTTACTAAGTGTTGCATTTTTTTTCTTCCTAACTGGATATAATTCTTTTCTTAAAAAAATATTTTTATTGATTTTTAGAGAGAGAGGAAGAGGGAGAGAAATGTCGATGTGAGAGTGATCAGCCACCTCCTGCAGGCCCCCTACCGGGGATCGAGCCTGCAACCTGGGCGTGCACCTCGACCCAGAATCCAACCAGGAACCCCTTGGAGCATAGGCGACACCCAACCGACTGAGCCACACCAGCCAGAACTGGCAGTTACCTCTTTCTGAACCTTCCTGTGATCAACACGAAATCGGGCTTGGGGAACTCCTGGGGCAGACCTGCAGCGCCATTGGGGCGGCTGCCTGTCTGGGCTTCTGGAGCAAACGGTCTGCCCCCTTTGCTGTGTGGAGAGGCAGTGCTTTCTAAGAATATTTGAAAATTTCTAAAACACATTAATCAATGTTATTTTGCTTAATGCTTACCAAAACCTTGCAAGATAGAGCATTTTATTATTGTCTCCTTTTTTTTTTTTTCAGGTGAGGCCATCGAAGATGAGAGTCATCTTGTGAATTGACCCAAATCACAGACAGTTGCAGAGACTCTAAATTTGGTTCCTTTTGTGCCATATCCCACAGCCCCTGAGCAGCAGTCAGAGAAATAAGGGGCGTCCCCCAGTGGAGATGCTGATGGGTTTTCATCGACACACAAGGCAGGGAGTGCATCCATGCTGGTGGCCTGGACACCTGTGAGCGAATATGATCTTATCTACAGAGGTAAGAACTGGGTGCTGGGGGTAAGGCTGAGAAACTCAGGTTGATGGGACACCTGCCATTCAGAATGACCTCCTTGGCTGACTCCTTGAAGGGCTCTGTGATGCTCTGACCAGGTCTGGCATTCACCGCAAGGGCTTCCCAAGCCTCTGGAGCTATCCACAGCCAGTTCCTACAGAGATGGCAGGGGATCAGAGGAGGTCTCTCCAGCCTCCATTTGCTTCCTAAGATGGTCTGAGCAGCAAAATCTCTATAGTTCATTTTCTACAGCCAGACTGATGGTCAAATAATCATTCTGTAATCTGAGCAGGATAGAGCTCCCACTAAGTTGGTCTGGTCTTCTCAGAGATGAATTATACATATGTCCCAACAATGTATTAGCCAGGTCTTCTGAATTTATTTATTTATTATTTATTTTATTTTTTAATTTTATTTTTGTTACAGATGTTTCTCCTTTTTTACCCCATTAACACCCACCTCCCCATTTCCCCCACCCCATCCCCGGCTTTGTGACCATGTCTATTGGTTATGCGTACATGCATGTAAGTTCTGTGGTTTATCTCTTCCCTCCCCCCATCCCCCCCTCTTCTGAGATGGTCATTCCATACCCTACTTCCACATCTCTGGGTCTACCCTATTCCTCAGACTGTTATGTTCATTATATTCCACAAATAAGTGAGATCATGTGGTATTTGTCTTTTTCTGCTTGGCTTATTTTGCTTAGGATAATACTTTCCAGGTCCCTCCATGTCGTCTCAAAGGATAAGAGATCTTTCTTTCTTACAGCTGCATAATACTCCATTGTGTATATGTACCACTGCTTTGTTATCTATTTGTCTACTGATGGACACTTAAGCTGTTTCCAGATCTTAACTATTGTAAATACTGCTGCTAGGAACATGGGGATACACATATTCTTTCTGATTGATGTTTCAGGCTTCTTAGGGTATATTCCCAGCAGTGGGATCACTGGGTCAAATGGCAGTTCCATTTTTAATTTTTTGAGGTAACGCCATATTGTTTTCCATAGTGGCTGCACCAGTCTTCATTCCCACCAGCAGTGTACTAGAGTCCCCTTTTCTCCACACCCTCGCCAACACTTGTTGTTTGATGATTTGTTGATGGCGGCCATTCTGACAGGTATGAGGTGATACCTCATTGTTTTAATTTGCAGCTCTCTGATGATTGGAGATGTTGAGCATTTCTTCATGTCTCTTGGACATTCGTATGTCCTGATTAGAGAGGTGTCTATTCAGCTTCTCAGCCCATTTTTTAATTGGGTTCTTTGTCTTCTTTTCGTTGAGTTGTATGAGCACTCTATAAATTTTGGGAATTAACCCTTATCTAATGTATCATTGGCAGTGATGCTCTCCCATACAGTGGGTTGCTTTTCCATCTTGATGGTTGTTTCTTTTGTGGTGCAGAAGCTTTTTAGTTTGATGTAGTCCCATGTGCTCATTTTTTCCTTTGTTTCTGTTGCCTTAGGTGATGCATCAGTAAAAATTCTGCTGCGTATGATATACAAAATTTTGTTGCCTATATTTTCTTCAAGAATTTTTATGGATTCATGAGTTGCATTTAAGTCTTTTATCCATTTTGAGTTTATTTTTTATGTATGGTGTAAGTTGATGGTCTAGTTTCATTTTTATGCATGTAGCTGTCCAATTTTCCCAACACCATTTATTAAAGAGATTGTCTTTACTCCATTGTATGCTCTTGCCCCCTTTGTCAAATATTAATTGAGCATAATGTCTTGGGTTCATTTCTGGGTTCTCTGTTCTGTTCCACTGGTCTATATGCCTGTTCTTGTGCCAATAGCAGGCTGTTTTGATTACAGTTGCTTTGTAGTATAACCTGATATCTGGTATTGTGATCCCACCTGCTTTGTTCTTCTTTTCCAAGGTTGCTGTGGCTATTTGGGGTCTTCTTTGGTTCCATATGAACTTTTGAAGTATTTGTTCTAGTTCTGTGAAGTATGACATTGGTATTTTGATGGGGATTGCATTGAATCTATAGATTGCTTTGGGTAGTATGGACATTTGAATGATGTTAATTCTTCCAATTCATGAACAAGGTATGTGCTTTCACTTTTTTATATCTTCCTCTATTTCTTTTTTCAATGACATGTAGTTTTCTGCAAATAGGTCCTTTATCTTTGGTTAAGTTTATTTCTAGGTATCTTCATTTTTTTTTGCTGCGATGGTAAATGGGATTGTTTTATCAGTTTCTCTTTCTGTGAGTTCATCATTGGTGTATAAGAATGCTGTCGATTTCTTGACATTAATTTTGTATCCTGCTACTTTGCCAAATTCATTTATTAAGTCTAGTCGATTTTTGATGGATTCTTTAGGGTTTTCTATGTATAATATGTCATCTGCAAATAATGACAGTTTCACTTCCTTCTTTTCAATTTGGATCCCTTTTATTTTCTCTTTATGTCTGATGGCTGTGGCTAAGTCTTCCAGTATAATGTTAAGTAAGAGTGGCAAAAGTGGACATCTCTGTCTTGTTCCTGTTCTTAAGGGAAATGCTTTTAGTTTCTGCCCACTGAGTATGATGTTGGCTGTAGGTGTTTCATATATGGCCTTTATTATGTTGAGATACGATCCCTCTAGTCCCACATTGCTGAGCGTTTTTATCAGAAATGGATGCTGGATTTTGTCAGATGCTTTTTCAGCATCTCTTGATATGATCATGTGGTTTTTATTCTTCATTTTATTTTTGTGGTGTATTACATTCATTGATTTACAAATATTGTACCAGCCTTGCATCCCAGGGATGAATCCCACTTGGTCATGTTGAATAATATTTTTGATGTATTGTTGGATCCAATTTGCTAGTATTTTGTTCAGGATTTTGGCGTCTATATTCATCAGGGATATTGGCCTGTAGTTTTCTTTCTTTGTAGTGTCTTTTTCTGGTTTTGGAATTAGAATTATGCTGGCCTCATAAAATGAGTTTGGAAGTTTTCCTTCTTCTTGAATTTTTTGAAATAATTTGAGGAGAATGGGTGTTAGTTTTTTTTGAATGTTCGGTAAAACTCCCCCATGAAGACATCCAAGCCTGGGCTTTTGTTTGTTGAGAGAGTCTTGATTACATCTTCAATTTCCTTAGTGGTTATTGGTCTGTTCAAGTTTTCTATCTCTTCCCAATGTAGTTTTGGGAAACTATGTGTTTCTAGAAATTGGTCCATTTCACTTATATTGTTCAATTTGTTGCCATATAATTGTTCATAGTAGTTGTTAATGATCTTTCGTATTTCTGTGGTTTCAGTTGTTACTTCTCCTCTTTCATTTCTGATTTTGTGTATTTGGGTTCTCTCTCTTTGTTTCTTGGTGAGTCTAGCTAAGGGCCCATCAATCTTGTTTATTTTTGAAAAACCAACTCTTTGTTTCATTGATCCTTTAAATTGTTTTTTGTTTTTTTTGTTTTTGGTCTCTATGTCATTTATTTCTGCTCTGATCTTTACTATTTCCTTCCTTCTACTTGCTCTGGGGTTTTCTCTTTGTTTGCTTTCTAGTTCTTTAAGTTGTGAGGTTAGATAATCTGTTAGAAATTTTTCTTGTTTCTTGAGGTAGGCCTGTAGTGCTATGAACTTCCCTCTCAGAACTTCTTTTGTTGCATCCCATAGAGTTTGTGTTGTTGTGTCTTCATTTTCATTGGTTTCCAAGTTTTAAATTTCTTCCTTTATCTCCTCATTGACCCATTTGTTGTTTAATAACATGCTATTTAGCTTCCACTTGTTCAAATGTCTTTGCATGTTCTTGTTGCAAGTGATTTCTAGTTTCATGCTATTGTGATATGAGAAGATGCTTTATATGATTTCAATTTTCTTGAACTTGTAGAGACTTAGTTTGTGTCCTAACATGTGGTCTATCTTTGAGAATGTCCCATGTGCACTTGAGAAGAATGTGAATTCTGTATTTTGGGGGTGTAATTCTCTGTAAATATCTATTAAATCCATTTGATCTAGTGTTCATTAGAGTCTCTGTTTTCTTGCTAATTTTTTGTCTAGTGGATTATCTTCTGAATTTAAAGAAGCTCAGGACAGGAGGTGGGAGCAGTAAATGGCCTGTGCTCACTGCCTCCCTTGAGTTCTCTGTTGTGGGTCCATCCCTACCTGGACCCAGGCAAGCTCATCTATAACAGCAATCAAGATCCACCTGCTAAGCCCTAAGGAAACTGAAATTCCACTCACGTCTTTTCCAATGCTCATGAGTTCTTGGAAGGGGAACTCTTAAAAAGTACATGGACAGGTATGGAATTGTTTCTTCCTCTTTCTTGCCTCCACTCCTTCCCTGTGTAATCTATTTCTTTCAAGCTGAGTAAAAGTAGCTGTGCGGTGTGTCCTGTAGGCTCTGAGCAGGTGTATCCTGTCACCTGCCAGGAAAGCACGGGTCCTACAGGCCCTCCTCCCAGTAACCTCTCTCAGGAGACTGGGCTGTCTGCAAACCAAGCAGAGGTGTAGGAAGTGACAGTGAGGCCCTGTGTAGAAAGGGTCTCTACTTGCCTTTTCTTTAAAACTATAAACCTGTAAAAATCCATAAAGTTGCTTGTCCTGGTGTTTTGTTTCTGGATGCCGAGCTCCGTTAACAGGAAAAGACTTCTGTTCCTTGAGCAAGGATCTAGGGTTTGGATGTGGATTTTCCATCTGTGTTGAGTTTGAGGCCTTTCCTAGGATTCTTGGTCAAGAAAGGCTTGTCCATTTCCCTTAAGAACAGGAACAAGGCAAGGATGCCCACTTTCGCCACTCCTATTTAACATAGTACTGGAAGTCTTAGCCACAGCAATCGGACAGGAAGAAAAAATAAAAGGGATCCAAATTGGAAAGGAGGAAGTGAAATTGTCATTATTTGCAGATGACATGATACTGTACATAGAAAACCCCAAAGACTCCACCAAAAGCTTACTAGACGTAATAAATGAATTTGGCAAAGTAGCTGGATACAAAATTAACGTCAAGAAATCGATGGCATTCTTATACACCAATGATGAACTCACAGAAAGAGAAACTAAGCAAACAATCCCATTTACCATTGCGGCAAAAAAATTAAGATACCTAGGAATAAACTTAACCAAAGAAATAAAGGACCTATTCGCAGAAAACTACAGGTCTTTGAAAAAAGAAATAGAGCAAGATATAAAAAAGTGGAAGCACATACCCTGTTCATGGATTGGGAGAATTAACATCATTAAAATGTCCATATTACCCAAAGCAATATATAGATTCAACGCCATCCCCATCAAAATACCAACGGCATACTTCACAGAATTAGAACAATTACTTCAAAAGTTCATATGGAACCAAAAGAGGCCTCGAATAGCCACAGCAATCTTGAAAAGGAAGAAAAAAGTTGGAGGGATCACAATACCAGATTTCAGGTTATAGTACAAAGCCACCATAATCAAAACAGCCTGGTACTGGCACAAGAACAGGTATATAGACCAGTGGAACAGAATAGAGAACCCAGAAATGGACCCAAGGCAATTTGCTCAATTAATATTTGACAAAGGTGGCAAGAGCATACAGTGGAGTAAGGACAGCCTCTTTAATAAATGTTGCTGGGAAAACTGGACAGCTACTTGCCGAAAAATGAAACTAGACCATCAACTTACACCCTACACCAAAATAAACTCAAAATGGATAAAAGACTTAAATGTAACTCATGAATCCATAAAAATCCTAGAGGAGACTGTGGGCAACAAAATCTCAGACATCATACGCAGCAGAATTTTTACTGACACATCACCTAAGGCAATAGAAACAAAGGAGAAAATGAACACATAGGACTACATCAAACTCAAAAGCTTCTGCACAGCAAAAGATACAATCATCAAAACGGAAAGGCTACCCATTGTATGGGAGAGCATAATTGCCAATGATATATCAGATAAGGGGTTAATTTCCAATACATATAGAGTGCTCATACAACTCCACAAAAGGAAGACAAAGAATCCAATTAAAAAATGGGCAGAGGAACTAAATAGACACCTCTCCAAACAGGACATACAAATGGCTAAGAGACATATGAAGAAATGCTCATCATCACTAATCATCAGAGAGATGCAAATCAAAACAACAATGAGGTATCACCTCACACCTGTCAGAATGGCCGCCATCAACAAATCATCAAACAACAAGTGTTGGCGAGGGTGTGGAGAAAAGGGGACTCTAATACACTGCTGGTGGGAATGCAGACTGGTGCAGCCACTATGGAAAACAATATGGTGTCACCTCAAAAAATTAAAAATTGATCTTCCATTTGACCCAGTGATCCCACTTCTAAGAATATATCCTAAGAAGCATAAAACACCAATAAGAAAGAATATATGTACCCCCATGTTTGTAGCAGCACTATTTACAATCGCTAAGATCTGGAAACAGCCCAAGTGCCCATCAGTAGACGAATGGATCAAAAAGCTGTGGTACATATACACAATGGAGTACTACGCAGCGGTAAGAAAGAAAGATCTCTTATCCTTTGAGACTACATGGAGGGACCTGGAAAGTATCATCCTAAGTGAAACAAGCCAAACAGAGAAAGACAAATTTCATATGATCTCACTGATTTGTGGAATATAATGAACATAACAGTTTGAGGAATGGGGTAGTCCCAGAGACGCGGAAGTGGGGTACAGACTGACAATCCCCTAAGGAGTGGGGAGGTGGGGGAGGGATGAACCACAGAACTTATATGCATGTCTGCATGATCAGTGGACATGGACAACAGTCTGAGGAAGGGGCAGGGAGAGGAGGGGGAGGGGGGAATCAGTGGGGGAAAAAAGGAGAATCATCTGTAACAAAAATTAATCAATAAAAAAAAAAATAAGAAAGGCTTGTCTAGCAGAGGATAAAAGTCACTTTTTAAAATCACACCTGAACACAACATTTTGACTGCTTTGACCTCATGCTAAAGACAAAAGAAATTTAAGTAAATATTTAACTGTAGTTAGCAGGTTTCCTTTCACATGGTGTGGGTTACCAATTTTGAAACAACTTTCTCAATATTCAATATTAAGCCTTTAGCTAAATATATTGTAGAAAATGGGAAGCAGGTTTCTCACTGTGTGAGAATATAGTTAGTTATGGAAAAGAGAAGAACAGAATGAAACCATGGTGTAGACGAGCAAGTCTCCCTTGTAAGGCCACAAGACTGTTCTGATTTTAGACGGGCAAACGGATGGATGGATGGATGGGAAAATAGATAAGAAAGGAAGGAAAGTGTGTGTGTGTGTGTGTGTGTGTGTGTGTGTGTGTTGAAGGTTCCTTGGAGAAATGTCAAATTTTAATGCTGGGGCAGGGAAAGCATAAGATAAATTTGTAACCTCTTATCATTTTAGAAATTAAAAAAAAAAAAAAATGACCAAAGGATAATGAGAACAGGTTAAAAGGACACGGAGCCAGTCCTGAGGGGCTCCCTCGAGCTAGATCTTGGATAATTTGAGTATCTAAATAAATAATGAAAGTGAAAGATTTCAACCTATTTAAAAAATAAGAATGAAGAGTTCACATTGATACAAATAAATAAATGGGGAAGAAGGGGAAATTCTTTCTTACAGTAGAAATCTAACTAATGTAAAAGCAATGATGTACTTAGAAAATCACCATTTGACTGCCATTAGAATTATTGATTCAGACAAGAATCATGAACCAATACTAAAAGTAGGGAAGGAGCTCGAGAAACAACAATGCATTCACATAGTCTCAAAGTATCTTTTCACAAGATATTAATTACAATGGGAAAAGAGTAACTTGACAGCTGAGAACCCTGGCAGATTCCACACTAACCAAGTTATCAAAGTTAATGCCAGGAATGGGACAAACTGACATAATATGCCTCCTGATATGTGAACTGAAAAGGACGAAACATCACTTCTGTGGTCTTTCTGTCAAGAAAACAACCTGAATTGAATCAGAAGGAAATATCACGTAATTCTGAATTGAGGGGCATTCTACAAAGTAGGTGACCAGAACCTTCCAAAGATATCAACAGTGTAAGACACAAAGAAAGACTCAGAGACAGTTCCAGAGCACAGAAGACGAAAGACACATGACAACCGACATGCTCTAGTTTTCTTTTGTTCTAAAGAACATGATGGGGACAATTATAAAAATCTCAGTAAAGTCTGAGAATTAGATAATAGCACTAATCAATGTTTATTTCCCAAGTTGGGTAGTTGCGCTGTGGTTATGTAAGAGAATTTTCAGGCATAAAGAGACATCATGTTTGTATCATACTATCAATCCAGAAAAAATATATAATACAAGTAGCAGAAGAAAAAAGGATAGAACAAATATGGTATAATGTTAATATTTGGGGAATATAGATGAAGAATATATAGGAATTCTTTGTACTATTTGCAAATCTTCTGTGAGTTTGAAATTCTGTCAAAGTGAATGTTTTTGCTGATTGTCCTGAAAAGACCTTAGGAAATCTAATATAGTTAGACCACAAAGACCACATTTATCCGTAGCCAGCTGAGATGCAGCTGGATCCTGGGCCTCTGTAATACTATGAATTTTGTTAGGTATAATCAGGGCATTATGATTGTGTTTTAAAATGTCTTTATCTTGTTAGAGACTCATACTGAAATATTTATGAGTAAAATTAGGGGAAACCTGAGATTTGCTTTAAGACATTCCAGCAAAAACAAAACCAGAAAAAAGGTGGAGGGACCAGAGAGATGAAATAAGATAGGCAAAATGTTCATTTTTTGGTGAAGGATACATGGGCTTCAATACACAATTCTCTCTACTTCTGTGTACGTGTGAAACATTCTATTAAAAAGTGTGTGTGTGTGTCTTTTTTTTTTTTTTTTTAATAGAAGATTTCTTTGTTGGCAAGAAAATAATTGCCACAGAGTATCTACCCTTGGCTTCCCAGGAAAGGCATGGAAACTTCTAAGAGACTTTTCAGTCAGAATGATGTATAAACTCAAACTTTCTGACTTAAACAGGCTTGGATCCTCCATGGCACCAGGAAATGTTTACTTCTGTTGGGTGACAGCTCAGGGGACTGGAAACAGCAGGGGTGGGCTGTCCCGGGCAGGAGGAGAAGACACCTGCTAACCCTGAGTGAGGGTGGGCAGGCGCGCGAAGGCCTCCTGGGCAAAGGGTCCACTTGAGTGAACTTCCCAAGGCCCTTGCCCACCTCCCATCACCCAGATACAGGCAACAGGACCACTCCCCATGGTGACCCACCTGGGGCACCCAGAAAAGCATTTTCTCTTCCACAAGGCAGGTGCAGAGA